TACGCTGATACAATCTCGGACAAGCTGGAGATCGTTGTCCTCGTTCGAATGTGAACGCTCGCGCGCGCGAGCGCACGCTACCTACACGCGACACACACATCGTGACGCCTACCGGCTCCGATCGGAAAGTCACCTGCCGCATACCTTTTGCTCCGTCGCCGGAGGCGGTAACCTCTCTTTCTCCGAAAGAGAGACAGAGAGAGAAGAAGAGAGGGGAAGGAGGGACGATCTGCGAAAAAAAGATTCGCTTTCACGAAAGTTCTCGCGGCCTTTTCGTCTTCCAGCCTCGTCCTGTGTTCACTGGCCATGTTGGGGGCGGTGGTGAACGCTACGTTGTTGATAGAAACATTTTATGATACAAAATTCTTTTACTATTACTTATACAATTCGATGAATTGTTTGCACAATTTCATGTAAGGTGGACTCCGTATAGCAACCTTTAAAAAATTATATGTGAAACAGATGATGTGAAGGATTGGAATTCCGTTGTGTCCTGAGGCAACTCGTTTGTCGATTGCTAAGGGTTGTAATGGCTTGTGTACTGATTGTAGTTATAAATTTGATAACGAGTGTGCGTTTGGTACTGTAAGCTTTACTGAAGATAACGTTAGCGAAAATAATGAGGTTCGATAAGTTTGACGGCAATATGAGTCACAGTTTCAAACAGTTCAGTTTCGAAGTTTCGAATAATTCAGATTCAAAGAGTCAAATACTTTATAGTCAAAATTCCAAGTACTTCAAACTCAAAATTCCAAACGTTCCAAATCCAACATTCCAAACACAAACTCAGCGTTCGAATCCTTGATACAACAATCCACAGAACTCTTTCCCCAAACACCAACCACCTTTCATAGATGTGTACATTCGAAACACGAGTGTCTTGTGATACTAATAATCCAACTACTACCTCTCGACAACTCAGAAATAATAATCAGATTATTCCCCCGCTTCTCCCACTTCTCGAATCCGCTTCATTCGAACACAATGATATTCCAACAGCAACAGTACCACACACTTCGCCACGTGTATTCGAAAGGATTCAAAAGATAGCCGGAGACCAGCAAATTCTCGGCACGCAGCGAGGCTGCACCGTTGCTCGAGGGGATCGCGAATCAGTCCGGGCCGCCTCGTTACAGTATTCCGGGCGTAGTTCTCGAAACGGCCCCCGGAATCGGCAATAGCTCAGACGATCGTCCCCGTTCGCCGGGGCCGCCGGATCGGAGCATCGGGAAACTGTGTCTCGCGTTCGCGCCTCCGTCCGGCCGACCTCCAGATCCGAACGGCCGATAAACTATCCGCGTATGGGATCTCGTGGAAACGGGCCAGCCGCCGGCGAACCACGCTTTCCTCGATTGTTACGTAAAGGTAGCCGCGCGCGCGGCGATTAACGCGACGACGATTAACGCCGCGGGAAACAGCGCCGTGATCTCATCCAACGGTTGTCGCGACGCTAGACGTTCCTTCCTCTTTTCTTTTTTTCCTTCTCCCTTTCTCGCGGATTTTCGCACGCGTCGCGTGTCGCTGAACTGAAATGAACGAAGGTTTTCCGTTGATTTTAGAAAGAGTCCCATAAAATTCTTTGCAACCTCGGAAGATAAATTTAGTTTCGATCTTTCCTAATTTTTGAAATAAGAGATCCGGATATTTAGATTCTTATTTTTTATAATTGAAAAACGAGTGGGCAAATTATTCTAAGTCATTTGAATCGGGGAAAGGGTATTCCGGATATAGTGTCCAGGCTTCCTTAACTGGCACGAGTCTTTGTAACTATTTTCTATTTCCTTACATGGAAAGCTTCTTTCAAATGAAATTAAAGCATTTCCAACTTGTCAATCGAACGTCTTATCCTTATCAACGTAGCTGTCGTTAGTGAACATGAATAAATCACGAAGACAGAGAAAAAATGCATTCTCTTAGTTCAATTCATTGTCATCGTAAACATATATCAATACGTATAACAATAGGAAACCAGGAATGGTATCTCAAGGTCACTCCCGTTACGCGACTCCAATAATCTTTTCTTTCGAATGCAGATAAATCTTTCCTAATGCTCTAATCGGACGTTCAACTATTCCTATTTAAATCCTCTTTCCTCCAGCCAAGTCTAATGATGAATGGGAATAGCTGAATCATGAATAAATTTTCGTACGTGTTGGGTAGTTACGGTGTAGTTGGTTATCGTTGTTAAAAAGCAATAAATCACGCAGATAAAGGGAAACACGTTGGTTTTACAATTGCCGTCTAAGACGAGTCGTCGGATCTCGAAAACGGCTTCGGGAAGACCGCCGAGAGTCGCCGGGCCAGCCGGAGAATCGCATTGCATAGTCGGTTGCGCGGAATAGTTGGCGAGAATGCGCGCACCTTGCGGCACGGCGCAGCTCGCTCCAGCAACCCAGATCGCCGCGCGATGGAAATATACCGTTAAAACGTGCCACGGGCCCGCAGCCGTTACTCCTGTTCGACGAATCGTCGGCGACCAGGAATTCTCGATCCCTCTTCCCCCACCACCGTCGTTTCAGTAATCGTTCGACGACCGACGCGACGGATCGCGGGATGTCCGATGTTTCCCCTATTGGCTAGCCGAATTAGAAAATTCTTCCGTTGTCAACAGCTTTGGAATTCTAGAATTTCAAATACGCTCATTCGAACCACTAGTTCTCCAGGTAAAGGTTGATGCCAAGAACTTGTAGCGAGAAATGTGGGTATTACCCTAGTTGGTGGTACAGGTGCATTGGCAGTGTTAGTGTGTACTCTTAATTTCTTGGAATACTTTGAACTTTTGAATACTCTGAATAATTGGCGTGAACCATTGAGAATTGAGTAAAATCTACCATGCCTTAATATTGTTCGTATTTTTCTCATTGATGCAAAGAGAACACGAAAACTCGAACTACCTTTGCTTTCGAATTGTTTCTTAACATATTCGTTCTTTTGGAAGTTTATTGTTTCTCCTGCAGGCTCCGGGCACCGTGCCTAACGGATAAAGCAACCCAGTCATCGAAGTCTCTCCTATTTATCGCGAGAGATCCACAACGAACGGGCCGACGAGATCTCGTGAAAGATACGATGGTGATTTATCGTCGCGGAGAAAGCGACCGTGAGCCGGTAACCATCGACATTTTCGCCGATTTTCTTTCGTCGTTGCTGTCGTCGGATGATTAAATGTGCTACGCGAAATTCCTGTCGATCACGAGAAACCTCGCTGCCCGAAAAGTTCGACGGGCGACCGAGGAGAACGATGCAATTGATCGAATTACGCAAGCGACTGAAAATTCTTCGGAACAGTAGATCCTTTCCCTGATTTAATTGATGTGTTCGAAAAGCGTGTTCATTAACGCGTAAGGAAAATGCATCGTGTGTCGTAATTTAGAATGCGCCGACCACTGCTGCGCTTCATATAGAAATGCGCTATTCAACAGTAGCGCGATGCTCGCTGTGTATATTCATGGGGCAAGGAACACACTGATTTTTACTATGATAATAACGATAATTACTAGCATTACTAATATTATCATTGTAATTATTATCATTACTGTCCAACCAATACACGATACACCGCATATGCAGCTCACCGTGCTCATCAAACGTTCACCTTTAGTTTTTCATTACAGCTCATTATTACTTCCGTTACTTCGCGCTGCTTCTGTGCCCGTAATAGTAACTTCACATGCATATCACTCCGAACGGCGATAATAATTATCCGATGAAATGCAACTTTATACGTTAAAAAGATCGTCGAACCCCGCATTCATCGTTCCTGCCCGTAAACCCTATCTCTGTAATTTCCTCTTGTTTCTCTCTTCCCTCCGTATCTTTGTATCTTCTTCCTCAATTTCACTTTTAGTCTTGCACCGCGCCAACCGAACGTTTCTTCAGTTCGAGGGCATCGCGATCGCGTCGAATCTCATTTATTCGCGGCGCGGCTGGTGCAACGAGCGACTTATCATTATTATCATCACCGCGAAACGGGACTCGAAACGTCGAAACTCCATCGAAGGGAGCCGCTTCCTCTACTAGGTTTCCCTTCTCCTTTTTTTCGTTTTCAGGCAACGATCGCGATCGCTGAAAAAGCTGGGAACCCGGCCGGTCGCGCGCCGTGGCGAAACACCGTTCAATTATATCGATGAAAAACGGTTACGGTTCGCGGCAACGATACCATCCATCATACTCGCGGGCAGAGCCGCGATAAACGACTTCCGGCGTGGTTCTTATGTGCCACTAGTGCAGATTCGTGCGCCACGCTGCAACGCGACGCGATACGACGTGGTTCCACCAGCGAAAGTATCGCGCATTGATGGAAAGTTGGCACCTGGACGATAGGGGTCATTCATTGTGCGGTTTGTTTACAATTTCAACGCTGGAACTACTGAGCGCTTAACACGATTAATATATAATCCGTATACACACTGTGACAATGAATTTTTCTTCGATTTCTTCGTATATTTATTATAGTATTCAAGTGAAACTACTTGTTTTCAAAATCATTTCAGATATTCAACACTTTTAAGATATCAATCACTGTGAAATTAGGAAATTTTTTCTTCGTACATTTATTATAGTGTTCAACAACGAAATTACTTGTTTTTCAAATCATTTTGGATATCATTCATTGCGAAATGAGGAAACTGAAACCCGTCAGTTCGACGATGGCTGCGGTAGTTCTATATTAACATATTCAGGACTGGTAACCTAGCCCTGTGTTAGTTTTAATTTTTATAATAAATGTTAGTGATGTAGTCCTACGTCATTTCTAACTTATTCGTAGGAATGCTGGTAACCAAGTTCTATGTTATTTCTAATTTGTTTAAAGAAATTTCTGTAGCGTAATCCTGCGTCATTTAAAAACTTAGAGCTAAGAATCGACAACGTAATCCTATTGTATATTTCCTATGTATTATCGTATTCCTTTCGATAATACATTATCCTTCGACTCTTACTTTCTTTTGCTTATAGTTTAATACTTAAATTGTAACACATAAAGAATCGTTGCTATTGAATACCTGTTTACACGTCCAGTTTGCTGCCAAGTGTTCCCACAGAAGCTTCGCCGCGGCGTTTCGCTCGGACGTCAGCCCATCGCGAAACGGAGATCCTCCGAAGCAACCTTTGTTTCGCATCACGATATTAATGTTGCAAAACGTTGAAGCGTTGTGGCGAGACAGGCTGAAAAGCGAACGGTCTACTGTTAGTATTTCTGTGCCCGCTGAATCAACGATCCCGATAAACGCGCGCAACATTCTCACGGCCGTCGCCGCTTTCAAACTTCTCGGTGTTGCGGCTTTTGCATAATTCGACTTCCGGCATTCCGTGCGTTTTCGCCCGGCCGTGTCCACGGACCGGCACGGTTCTACCGGCGAAAGTGCCTTTAATGGCGAATAATCGACGAGGCACGGGCCGGGACACGGCTTCTGGAAGGGAACTGAGTGTCCGTCAATGGTGGGACATGTCGCACGGGACAAAAATGAACAAAGAACAATTACAACAATTTCAGCTGAGCTGACAGTTGACTATGCGAGGAATAATGGATCAATCATTTTTCCATGCAATCGTAAAGTTAGGGTTTATTAAAAGCTAGGCACTTCAGTTAGGATTTAAATCATAGTTAACCCTTTGCGCTGCGGAGGCACCTCTCAGTCGCCGATTGATTTGACACAGCAAAATTCTAAAGTTTGATCAATATATGAAGTATTGAAAGAAAATAGTTTTCATTCTGAATGTATGTGCGATTTCTTTCTAAGTCGATTTCAGGAAATGTCGTCTACATCTCATTAGAAAATATTGTGTATTTCCAGTGAAGAACTTCTGGAATGCAACAGAATTAAAATTCTAGTGGTTTATCAACAATTGAACACTTTAGTTACAATTTCGGCTCTAGATTAGACCCCAGTTATTATTTATCAAAAATGAAGAATTTTCGTCAGTTTTTGAATACTAGTTTGAATCTTAGTTAGGTTTCGTCAAAAGTTAGACGTTTCAGTCAGGGTTTAAGTCCTAGTCTAAACGATAATTAATAGTTGTCAATAATTAGACATTTTAGTTTAAGTTGATACTCTAATTTAACCCCAACGCAGGATCGCATATTTTATTCTTGAAAATCTTCGAAACAATTTTTATACATTTCGACGAAGTTCTGCAAATTTTTCTTCGATATAAAATACTTCTATACATTTCATTGAAAGTAAGATGATATAAAGGTGTTCTTAATTTTGTCGCTTAGATCGGGCAAATATCCCACTGTGCGTCAGATTCCCTCGTCTCCCGTCGCTGGATCTGTGGTTTCGCGAAAGGGGCCGGTACGGCATGCCGGACACGTCTGACAGGATTACCCGCGAGCTCTATATCGGTGAGAATCGAATCAACGTAACCCGAGCGCACCGCGTTTTCCCTGCTTCCATCATGGTTACCGGGCTACCGTTGACCATCACAGCTCGTTGCATTCCGTTCAGTCTGCTTCGATTCTTGAAAATGCATCGGTCACCTAACTATTCGAATGCTTTCGATCCTCCGATAGAATGTTGATTCACAATTTCATTTTAAATTAACACATTACACAGCGGCTAATTTTCAGAAAACTGAATTGTGCGGATGGCAATCTTCAGTGAGATCAACTTACATCACCATATATAGAAAAACTCAGATATCATATTGTTATGTAATATATTTTACGTAGATAATCGATTCGAATGAAATTTAATATTTTTTTCAATGCTGTAATGTTTAGCAAAGTTGCATAGCTAAGTGTCTTTATATAAAAAGGAGATTTCTCTGTACCAGTACGCAATGTGTTAATTTACGCTTACTATTCTAGCTTTTCGAACTTTAAGAAGAGTTAAACGTCCTTCACCGTCGAAAATTATCGGATGACGATTATTACAAGAGTATTTGAAGATGACAAGTAACAATTTTTATTTTGTATTACTTCACGTTTACCGTTCAAGCACCCAGGCCTCCAGGATCAGTCAAACACCCCTTACCATCATCGAAAGCCATCGGTGCAGCCCCTAACAATCAAAATTTCAACTCCTTTCAGTCCAAGATCTCAACGAAGAATCGTATTAAGCGTAATAATTACAGAAAGTAAAAGTAGCACTTTCTAAAACTGTTAACAAGCCCGGTGAAAAATGTGATTATTATACGCGAGGATGCAGCCGTAGCTCGCTGCGATTTGTGAATCAACATAATGTAAGCATCATCGGCAAGGTTTCACAATGCTTTCACGCTACTTTTATTTAACTAATACCTACAGCTGATATTCCTCCAACCGCGGCTATAAAAATCGGAATCTGCATAAAGATACCGGCGATCGAGGAACAGTGTGTTTTACGAGTTCGTGGGTCCCTATCGATCGTCGATGTACACCGCGGTTCAAAAGTTTTGGTCCACACACACATTACAGAAAATTGCTGAAAACTGGGAACATCGAATTATGAACCGAACATAAAACAAATCTACGCAGAAATTCATCAACAAAGATCGCATTAATTTTCAAGTCGTTCGATCAGTTTATTCAAACCAATTCTCAATCCTATTAACACGTATAATTGTCGAATGAAACCGATCTACAGATTGTTACTTATATTTTCATCCTGACAACTCTTCGTAAAATCTTTCAAATAAATCCACAGAAAAATGGTTTTTTCTAAAAAAAATATAACGTTGCCGATCCTAAGGGTCAACCTGAAGGGTTAATCGATTTAGCGGTCCGAAACTTTTGACCGGCAGTGTAGGTGTATACCGCGTTTCGAGCCGTTCTCGCCGGCTAGACGATCCAACGAAAGCCACAATGGTTCAGTGAAAGCTATTTTAGGTTGTATTCCGTACGTCCTCGTTACAGGAATGAATTTTACGGCTGGCCAGGACTACGGGCTTATTAAGGAGCGCTCCGCCGATGGACGTTGGACTCGCGCCGCGTTAGACTTCCCCCTTGTGACGAGGGGAATAAGGAGACGGTAATAACAGCGCCGGCGAAGGAGAATACTCGCCGAGAGTACGCCTCGGGCACTTTTCTCCTGGCTTAATCGTTATGGAAAGTCCGAGGATAATATGGGACGTCTGTCCGCCACAGAATCTCGCAGGATCGCCGCGTACCCGGCATTCTCCGCGGGCCTGGGAGAAGAACAAGCGCGCTGGATCTTCGTTTCTGGCTTCGCCATTCAGGTGAAACTCCGACGTCTGTCGGCGTATCTCCTGACCGCCACCTGATTTCAGGCAGAAAGGAAACGAGAAAACGACCGCGACTTTTACGCGTTGGCACGTGGTCTCTAGTCTGCTCCGTAATTTTTGGAATTCACATAGCACGGGTTTGATTTTGTTTCGTGAAACTGTTTGTTGTGTATTTATTTGGAAGATGTGTGGATATTTGGAGATGTTTGTTTTAGAATCTGACGAACAATGGTGGAAAAGGTTTCAGTTGAAACAGCTTCAAACAATTTCAAACTATCTCAAACAGTGTCAGAGCACATAGATGTTTGAAAGGATTGTAAACGTATTTGAGGAATTCCCACATTACGTAGCAGCGAATATGGAATTCAAGCTCGTAGATAGTCGCAAACATTATCGAACAGAACCGCAAACCCCGATCAAACTGAAGTCGTGAATTATAATACCGCAAAACGCGTTCGTTTGCCAAATCTCGTTAATCAGCAGCCCACCGTTAATTTCCTGTTCCTCGAGTTTAAAGTACGTGCAGCAGGAAAGAAGATTATTCGCCGATATATTTAACGGTTCGGACTCGGCCTTCTTTCGGCTCGTAAAAATCCGAGGGAACGATTCTATGCGTTCTCGATAATGACAACCAGTGAAAAATATGGCACCCGCGGGTCCCGATATTTGAGCAGGTGCGCGGCGAACAACGATGGAGTCTGGTGTTACGTGTATCGAATCGGCGGATAACGTCGAAATACGGGCTTCTCCGAAGCCGGCGCGGCGAGCGCCGAGCATTAACGCACAGGTGTACCGCAGAATCTCGTCCGAACGGGTCAACCTGTAGCCCACATCGGAGGAGCAAGGTGCGTGTCGAAATTGGGGAGACCGCGATACAGTCGGATCGCTTCGAAAGTACCAAAGGTCCCTCCTTTTCATTCAGGGGACTATTGAATCAACGGGCGGACTTCGATTCGCTCGGCAACTACGATTAACCCTTTGAGGTCTAGAGATTTTTTACTAAAATACTCAGTGTTTTCTGAAACTTGAGGAATTCTTTATTTCAATATTCCACCTATTAATACATTATACAAAGCTCAATATTAAATACCAAACCGTAATGGTGTATCACAACCAGATTACTGAGAGGCGCCTCTACTGGAAAGAGTTAACGGACTTCGAATCTTCGTGCAAATTCAAGTTTTCAAGAATACAATACGCGATTGAATCGGACTGCACAAAACCCTACAAACAGGAAGCAGATATTTCGCAAATCTCCAGTTACGATCTCCACTAATCCAACAGTTTCCTAAAAATACGTAACGACAAACTTCCAAAAGAATACCATAGAACACATCAAAAATCAAAAAAACAGATTCGCATAAACTCCTCAAAGAAACCTGTGCGCAGCTTCTAATCCAAAACAAAGCACCAGCTCAATATCCCTAAGGACTAATTTCCACACAGAGAACTATATCGTGACCGCCAGCCGCTATAGGCAAAAGCATCCGCGGATATGTCGATCGCGTGACCAAATTCGAGGGGCGCCTGATTCGAGCGGGCCCCGGAATCGAATGGGCATGGGTGGTCGCTGGTGGGGGTCCGCCGCGGTCGACGGAGATTGAGTAAACGGGGGACGCGGGCGGACATGGACAGGCGAACAGCAGGAGAAAGAGAGAAAGAGAGAGAGAGAGAGAGGGAGCAGGGACAAGAGTGGGAAAAAGAACGAGAAAGAGCTCGAGAGGGGGCGGAGATGGAGGGGCAGAGGGAGAGAGGCAGCGAAAGGTGGAAGGAGACAGGAGACGGTGTTTGTAATCAAAGGGGCGATCCGCGGCGCGGCGTGGAAGAAAGTCAGCCTACTGGCGAGCCAGTCCGGCACGGCGCGTTGTCCCGAATGCACGTCGAACCATTGATTTCCGCGTGTCGCGGCCACGTGATCGTGCTGCTCGATCGCCACGCACTGCTGCGTCGCCCCGTGTCGGCTAGGCTCGTTCGCCCCGGTGAACTGTTCGTCGGTCATCGAAGGAAAAAGGGGGCAAGGAGCTAAACGCGAGGTCCTTTGACGATCAAACCTGACGTGCCACGTATAGCGAGGCGCGTTACGCTGCGGCCAAAGAGGGATCGGGTTTATCGGAGTCGATCGTGATCGCGTGATTGCGTGATATCGCCGCGTTCGCGGCCAGACGCGCACACCGAAGGCGTTAACGGTATCGGACCGCGCGATTCCACTGGAGGACCGAGGAACCCGGGGGTCCGGGATACATCACGTGGGCGGCCGGGACCACTGCCGGGATACGCGCGCGCGGGACACAAGTGCGGCCCGCGCGCCGCGGCGCTCTTCCAGACGATGAAAACGAGTGGCGAATGAATGGTAAGTACCGGTAATCGGCGTGGGAAGTGGTGCGGGAAGTTTCCCGAGGAACCAGAGGCGTTCGACGGTTCTCGTGGAACGCTGGAATGGGGCACGGCAGTGATTCCTAGATCTTTTGAGGGGGCTTTTTGGGAGGAACGATCTTTCGCGATTTGGTGGGTTGTGAAATCCGTAGTTGACTCTGTGTGATTGAGATTTCGTTGAGAAGTGTGGTAGAACTAGTTTAGGGTTGGTAATTTTGTAGAAGGAAGGATTGTATGTCTGTTAAAAGGCTACGTTTGTTGCTGTGATTGGAAATTGGTAATAGGTTTTCAGTTCTGTTTGTTGGAAGTCTAGGTTTAGTTGATGATTAATCGTTGGATGTCGTGTAGTGTATGTATGATTTGTAATAGATAGAGGATATCCTATCTCTATATTCTTTCGTTAGAACAATATCAGTACGGGTATATAAATGATATGGAATGATACAGATTTTTCAATGTTCGATTGTGGCAGTCGTATATAGGAAGTGGAAGTTAATGATTATAAGTATTTGATAATGGGGACATTGAAATAGTCATCGGAACGTTGAAACAATGATAGGGACAGATAATAGAAAATATGGGATCAGGTAATAATGGTCTAAGAACTTTTCCTCAGAATACTTTGCGTGTTGCTATAAACGAAATGGTGATTATGTGATTGTTTCTCGTCGTTATTTAGAACCGTTTAGAATCGGTATTTGCCAGAGGTAATTGACCAGTAGGATTCATGTTTACGAGACTTATTTACAAGAATATTGCCTTTTGTATTTGAATATTCTGATCGGTCGTGGAAAAGCTATTTTGTATGCTGATATGAATAATTGGTCTGGGTTCGTTCGATGAATCCATTCGAATAACAATGCGGATAATTTCGAACGTGTGTTCGCTGACGTAACGCGGATTTCTTCGATGTGATACGCCGATGACTGCCTCCGCACCCGTGGAAATATTATTCAGGTATGCGACGATGATTAATTTGGCGAATGGGAACTGTCAGTATGGAAATAATTACGTGAAAATATTTAAAGTCGAATAACATAGTATATCGTATAATCGACATACATTCGAGTGAATTTTTTAATTCAAATAAATATTTGGCACAATCCTTGTTCGATCGTTTATTAGTTGATGAACAAGTCTATTAGTTTCGAAAAAGAACAATACAAAAATATTGAAATCTCTACCGTCAACTATCACTGAACAAAACTTTCAACGGCGATATTCAGAAACAAAGACATTCTAATTCAAATGAATATCTGAAAGAATTCTTGTTCGATCGTCTATTAGTTTACGAACGTCAAAAACAATTTGATTCAAAGAAGAATTCCAATCTGCTGTTTTTATCCTCTCATTCGTTACATGAATAACGTTTTGTCCAACGCTACATGCAATAAATATCGGATCATGAGCGCGCGGATGACGACAGAGCTATTATTCGAGACGTTAGTCACGCGGAAGTGATCCTAACAGGTGGTGCGAGTCTACGGTCAGGGGTGCGTCTACAATAAAATACAGTCCCGTAATATTCCTGGATTACAACGTGAGTTTACGGACACTGTCAGCTTACGACAAATACAAAGAACTGCAAGAAAACAAAATTGAACAGGACATGCGTTTATATGAATTTTTCTTATAGTCTTCCACTAAAGCTTCAAAAGTCAATGAAGAAGTGTACGACGGATATCAAATATTAACCTGCTGCATCAGGTCAAGTCTTAAATCATCCTTTCGGGCCACACCTTCTAAGTCTGTAAACTTCCAAATTCTTCCACCTGACTCGCTACTTAAATTAATCCAAGTAAATAAAAGTAAAATGAATTAATCCATTTTATTTCCCGTATCTTTTATTTCCTCGTATTTGCATACGAGTGTATTCGGAATTTCAAGATGATAATTTTTCTTGTTTAATGAGATAAGACATTTCCACCGCTGCGACCTTAAAACGAATAAAAAGAGAAATTCAATAATAACAGTTGATCTTTAGGTAACCTCTGGCAGAAATAATTTATCAGACAGGGATGCTGAGGATGTTCGCTCTAACAGATTTTTAATGCAATCGATGTAGACATTAGGATTACTATTAAAGCATTAACGTTACTCATACACCATAATTATTCGATTCGAATACCGGTGTACTACGTTAATCTTCTTTACTCTCATATTCCGACGATAATGTCAAAGGTCGGTTAATTTCAGGGCCAGTTACAACGTCGATTCCGTAACGTTTATCCCCGTGCTATCGTGTGTTTCTTCCAAACAACTTACACAAATCTCATTCAATTAAATTAACGTCCAATCGAATCATCGTTCTTTCTTCAAAATTCTATTATTATAGGAACATTTCAGTGCAAAGAAACATTTGCGTGCATTGACTTCAGAGCAGAAATGTGTTGCCATTTGCCCGTCCCCTTCCATTCCGCGCTAACCATCGACAACGCATTAAAGTCGCATTATTGTTATTACTATTCGACTGGACACGCAATACCTCTCGCGATCTGCCACCCCGCTATCCGAGGAACATCCGCGTAATCCGTTTAACGGGACGCGGCTCTACGGCTTCGATGAACGTCATGCTGACATTACATCAAGGGAATATTAGAAACCGTTGTCGCTAGCCTCAGCGGCTGATCGTTCCCCGGGCGTTTAAAAATAAAGCCCAGTTCCAATCGCGTTTGCCGGGGAATAACGATCACGGGTTACTCTAATCCGAAATGCAGCGGAACGGTTTCCCAGACTAATCCCGCTAACGTCTGCTGCTGCTAACTCGCAGACGATCATTAGATCGCGAACGATTCGCAACAAATGAGATGAAAGAAAACGGATTTTCCTTTTTGCGTCCTTCCCTCTGCTCCTTTTGTGTTTTAGCGTCTGGCAGCCGTGTCCTCATTCCGAACATCTGTGTCAAGTTCTTCGTATCAAGCCGACTCCAGCCTGACACGTTCGCAGGTCCTTCTCTCGTGAGCAATAAATTTGATGGCTGCTATTTCAGTCCATCATCCGATCAGTGCTAAGCTATCTAAGCTAGACAGCGACAGGGATTTTTCTCGATTAGGGATATTTCACGACCAACAGCTATAGGACGCGTTTGCAGTCGTCGACGTAGACACGTCGGCTATTCAGCTAACGCTGATATGTTACAATTCTACATCGCATTCTTCGTATTCACAGCGAATATTAAATTTACTAGGACTTTACTAGTTCTTAGAATCTAAACCTTGAAACAGTATGAAAGTGGCCACTTTCTTTGTTTAATGATTAATGCTGCTGTTGCTAGGGTATTCCGCTACCATTATGCAACATCTAACATTAAACTTTCAGAAACTCTACGCATCTAGTCAATCATAAGGCTATCACATCGAAACCGTCAATTGCCAAAGTTTCTAGACCCGACGGCCCCCTCGCCATGGCATTTATTTATCGCTAAACATATTGATCCAGCCTGCAAGAACGCGACAAACCCGTACCATAACAGGCACGAGCGTAGCCAAGCATTTCCTCCGGCGTTCATTATCATTCATTTATGCACTCGTTAGTCAAGCTCCTTATTCCAGGCTGCATCGATTAATCCGAAAAACAGCGGAACCGTTTTCCCGACGTGTCCCGCTAACGGTGGGAGTAAAAGGTTGCCGATAGCGCGGGACGACGTTTCCTTTGATCGACAAGAAATCTCTCCGCGAAACCAGTTTTCGACGTGTCGCGGAGCGGCCGCGCAGGGGCCTTTGAAAGCCGATGTGGCATTTCGCAGTTTTTATCCTACGCGCACGGTGAGATAGAGAGAGAAAGAGAGAGAGAGAGAGAAAGAAAGACGCCGGACTCTCGGGGGCCCGGCCGCGCCGTCATTTTCTAGCTCCGAGGTATTCCGCGAGCCGATGCATGTGTAATTATTCCCGATCCCCGACGTAGAAAGTTTCGTCCGCGCGAGCCACCGGCGACCCCGCGGCTAGGAAGCGCGAACGAATCTGTGCTCACATGGCGAAAGAATGTGAATCGCTTTTTCGGGAGATTTCAATCTGTGTGTCCATTGAGACCTGAATTTGTAGATTCAGATGAGAAAAATGATAGTTTAATCGAGATTTATGAATTGGAATTGACGTTTTCTAAGGAGGAAAATATAGGAGTAACGTCTAATGGAGATTTCTGAATTGAAATTCATGGTTTTTAGCGGAAAAGGTGTACAAAAGCAATGTCTAGCGGAAATATTCAAACTGGAATTTATTGGAATTGGAATATATTTATCGCAACCCTCGGGTCTAGTTGAGATTTATAAATTAGAATCTAAGTTTTCGAGCAGACTATGTAATAAGCAATGTCTAATGGAAACACATAAATTGGAATCTAGGTGTCCGAATAGGCGAATTTTTGTAAAAGCGATGTCTAGAAATATTCAAATTGGAATTTATTGAAATCGGAATTTATTTATCGAGTCTAGTTGGAATCTATAAATTGGAATCTAGGGTTTCAAGGAGACTGTGTAATAAGCAATGTCCAGTGGACATGTATAAGTTGGAATCTGGGCTTCTGAATGAGAAAAATTTGTAAAAGCGATATCTAGGGGAGACCTAGATTTTCTAATGCGACGAATTTGTAAAAGCGACTTTTATTTAAGACCTATGAATTGAATTTTAGATTTTCAAATGGAATAATTATATAATGAGCAATGGCTTAGTGGAAACGTATAAATTGTAATTTAGATTTTCGAACGAAAAAAATGAATAAAAGTAATGACGAGTTATTTGGGCAAAGGCAATACAAGAATATCGAAATCTACATTCAACTATCAGTGAATGAAACTTCCAACGGCAGTAGCTATACAGAAATAGGAAACACGCGACTTCAGGCGTTTTGCCTCACAGCCACAAACTTAACTGTGTACGCGACGATACCTTTTCTATTGCCCGTTTTCAACGGGTAACGCTCGAATGACATGCCAGTCGCCTCCCTCGCAGTTCTATTTTTCTCTTTTCTTTTTCTTCGCGC